TAAGGCCCCTCCCAGCCCTGACATTTCCTATTCTAAGGCCCTCCCACCACTCCCTGTTCTAAGGCCCCTCCTAGCCCTGACATCCCCTGTTCTAAGGCCCCTCCTAGCTCTCCCGTGCTTTGTTGTTGGGTTCCTCACAGTCCAATGTTCTGCGTGTCAGGATGGTCATCTAGTCCAGCCCCCACATTTGATTGATAAGGACAATTGAGGCCCAGAGAGGTTAATGACTTGCCGCAGTCACATGGGGAATAAGCAACACTCCAGTCCTGGGGCTCCAGCTTCAACCTTCTTTCCAGTGTAGGAGAGGGGGGATCCCTCTTAGCTCTGGCATTCGATGCTGCAGTTCCCTTCCAGTTCTAAGGCCCCTCTCAGGTGTGACATCCCCTGTTCTCAGGCCCCTCCTATCCCTGACATCCCATGTTCTAAGGCCCCTCTCAGATGTGACATTCTGTGCTCTTTGTTCTAAGCTCCCACCCAGCCCCAAGCTCTGCCAGTGTCTGTCTGTCTTTGCTTCTGAAATAATTGACTAAGTTATTAGAAATGATGCCTCTTGCCTCCTGCACAGACCTGGCCTTAGTTACAGAATACCACGCTGCAGACTCCACGGGAACAGGGGAGGCCATTCCACCCATCATCCTCTGTATTTCCCATCAATTCCCAGGTGAATTCGCACCAGGGCCCTTGGGCTGGAGGGGCCTCGCCAGTCATGAGCCTCGATGTCGGCTCTGGCCAAACAGCCAGTCCTGGGAGGGGGCTTCGTTTCATTCTGTGCACGCACGGCCTCCCGTCGCCCGCCGTCACCGAGACACGGGGCTTCTGATTTTAGTGACAGTTGTACAAGACACTATACGTATAAACAAACACTTTCCCTTGTGTTTCAGGACTCTGTGGATAAATAAGCATCGCTGTCACCCTACAACGAAGTGCCGGCTCCCCTCCTGTAATGCGTCAGCCCTCCCTGACAAGCAGATATTCCAGGTAACTGAAACTTCTTAACCTTTACATGTCCGAGCTTAAGGGAGAAAGGCCTGACGTTCTGGAGGAGAGAACCTTCCACAGCGCGATCCATGCTGCTTCCTTGCCTTCTTAAGTACAGTACACCGGGCTTAATTTGCATTTTTGTTAATACTTGGGGTTTTTAGGTTGTGGATTTCAGGTCGCAGTATCCTAGAGAGAGAGCTGGAAGGCACCTACCAAGGCCACTGAGTCCAGTGCCCTCATTTTACAGAGGAAGAAACTGAGGTTCAGGGACTTGCAAATGCCAGGGGTTGGACTGAACCCACATCCCCTGACTCCTGAGTCGGTGGCTGCTCTTTCCATGCTACCACACGATACCTTTCTGTGCCTTCTTTTTGGGGCTGAAATGCCCCTGTAAGAGTCTGGAGTTGGCTACTCCTAACCTTCTCAGGGCTCGGAAACCAGCTGATTGGCGTCGGGGTCGTGGGGGGAAGTGCACCCACTAGAGAGAGCAGACCGCGTCCTCATTCACCTGTTCCCTCGTCTCCTGTCAGCGCGGGTTGTGAGCAGCCACTGTGGTCCGGCACGTACTTATCGGGTGTGTGATGTGTGTGGGGCCCTTGGGGGAGCCTGGACTTACCCAGGCAAAACAAGATGGAAGACAAACCACTGAAAACCCCCAAACCGGCCCCTGTCCTGGGAGAGTTTCCACTGGACCTGGAGGGATAGTACCTAAACAAGTAGTTGTATGTATACCTGACAGTTTGAGGACCGTGGACCATCAGGATGGGCTTCCTGGAGGCGTGGTGCCTCAGTTGAGCCTGGAGGGTCTTCAGGGGTTCTAAGAGATGACAGTGAGATTGGGGAGCGATGGAACAGAAAGGTCAGCTTGCCTGGAAAGGAGAACACTGGAAGCAGAGAGACGTGTCAGGAGCCTGGGAAGGCAAAGGGGAAGGAGGGGCCGGGGTGTGATGCCGGATTAAAGACTTTGTGTTTCATCCCAGAGGAAGTAGGAAGCCATTGAGGGTTCATGAGCTGGGGAATGCTGGGCTGGGCTTGTGCTTTAGGAAGACTTCCGGCAGCTTTGTAGAGCATGGATTGGAGAGGAGAGAGTGGGGGGAGCCAAGAGCCTCCCTGGGAGGTTGGTGCAGGAGTCCAGGTGAGGCGTAATGAAGGCCCTCCGTCCTGATCCTTTGAAACTATTAGAAAATAACTTTAGGAACCAAATGCTGCATTGTGATTCCTTCCCCCCTTCCTTCCGTATTTTGTTGTTCATTTTTGTCAGTTGTATCCAACTCTGGGTTTTCTCAGCAAAGTATTCCAGCTTATTTGTACAGATGAGGAAGCTGAGTCAAACAGGGTGAAGTGACTTGCTCAGGGTCACACAGCTAGTAAGTGTCTGAGGCCAGATTTGAACTCAGGAAGATGGATCTTCCTGACCCCAGGCCCAGAGCACTATCCACTATGGCGCCACCTAGTGGTCCCCATGTTTACACTATATTTACTTTTTATGCACTTCGTTATGTACGTGTTGTCATTAAATTGTAGGCTTCCTGAGGGCAAGCCCTTCCTTCTCTCTCTCCCCAGCATCAAGCATCCCTGGCCCATGACAGATGCCTAATAAGGCTGGCTGGTGGATGACTTTCTTAGATCATCCAGTTCATTGAAGAAGATTAGTTTAATGTGGGCTTCAGGAGGAGGTGAGGCTTGGAGGAAGAGGAGGGTCAGGGTTGGGGATGGAGCAGGGCAGCTCAGGAGGGGAAATGAGAGCAGCTGGGCCACAGGGAGGAGGGGATGTGCAGGGTCTGTTTGTAGGCTGGGGAGGAGAGTGGCCCGGCCTCAGCTTCCTTGCCTGTAAAATAAGGGGATTCAATGGACACTTTTCAAGGACTTTCTGGCTCTAAATCTGGTGAAAGAATTTTTTAATCTGGTCCAGACCTGAGATTTCATTGGCTTGGGGACCTCCTGATGAGGGAATTCCCTCTGTCACTGCTGATCGGCCGCCATGCTGCCAGATAGAATCGTTCCCAGGGATGGTGCAGTCCTAGCTTTAGCACTCTTTGGAAGACAACGCCATGGTTTCCCATTCATTCTGCCTCCTTCTCTCGTTCCCACCTCCTGTGAGTGCCTTTTTCAAGTCTAAATTTGCTGGTAAGTTCTTCAGGCATCCCCATCTGTCTCTTTGGATAGCCTCCCCTTAGATCCCCCCTTGGAACAATTTCCCCTTGTGTCTTCAGAATTTCATTGCCCGGAGCTTCCCGTCCCCGTCCCCCCTAGCCTGTGCTCATTTCCTCTGTGAAGCTCCAGGCCACAAGATCCTCCTTCTCTTTTCTCTGAAATCGGCTCTCCCCCAAATCCAGCTGTATGGCGGCCTGTGCCTGGCCAGCTTCGCATTCTTTGTTGTAAATTTTAAAACAGAGAAGCAACTTCCTCCCCAACGTCCCTCTGTTTTTACCCTCCCAACCAGTGCCTCCTTGGGGATAAGGAACAAGTTAAATCAGTTAATTAATCAAGAAGCTTTTATTAAGCACCTACTACGTGCCAGGCACTGGAGATACAAAGGTAAAGCTGAAATAGTCCCTGCCCTTAAGGAGCTTACACTCTATCAGGGAGCCAGTATGGACCTATATAGGTATAGAGCAAATATATTTAATTAACAAAGAAGCATTTATTAAGCACCTACTATGTGCCAGGCACTGGAGATACAAAGGTAAAGCTGAAATAGTCCCTGCCCTCAAGGAGCTTACACTCTATCAGGGAGCCAGTATGGACCTATATAGGTATAGAGCAAATATATTCAATTAATAAAGAAGCATTTATTAAGCACCTACTATGTGCCAGATACTGGAGATACAAAGGCAAAGGTGAAATAGTCTACCTAGCACTTCTCAAGAGATTGTTGGGAAGAGACAATACATAGTGATATAGATATATACAAAATAGATTCAATCAATTTTCAACCTTTTATTAAGTACCTGCTGTATGTGAGGCACTGTGCTGGGCTCTGGCAATATGAAGACAAATGTGAGGTGACCTGTGCTCTCAGGAAACTGACATTCTATTGTGGGGAGTCAATGTGCCTTTATAGGCGTATTCAAAATGTTTACAATTAATCAGTTCTCATTTGTTAAGCGCCTGCTGTATGCAAGGCATTCAGGATACAAGGAGCTTACATTCTATGGGGAGATAATGTATGTGCCCATGTAAGTACATAAACAATATATACAGTCAACCAAAAAACATTTATTAAGCACCTGCTGTATGCTGGGCACTATACTGGGCATTGGGAATACAGATATGAAGGGGATCTGGTCCCTGCTCTAAAGGAATGGGGCAGTGACCAGGACAGAAGCTCCCCAATTGACTTCTCTACTTACTAAAGAATGAAATGGTCAGTCATAGGATCATTGGATTATAGGTAGAGAAATGGAGGTCCAGTTCCCTCATTTTACAGATGAGGAAACTGAGGCATTGAGAAGTTAAGTAACTTACCCAAGGTGACATATGTATAAAGTGGCAGAGCTGGAATTCAAACTCAGGCCCTCTGGCTCCAAATTCAGCGTTGTTTCCACTATGACCCTATTTCCTGTCTAAATCCAAGAGATGGTTAATAGCTCTGCTTTTGTCCAAGGGAGAATGCCATCAGATGTCCAACTAACCAAAATCATGGGCTTATAGGATCATAGATTTAGAGGGGGAAGGGGCCTTGGTGGTCATCTTGCCCACCTGCTTCATTTTACAGATGAGGAAAGTGAAGTCCAGAACGCTTAGTGAATTGCCCAAGGTCATATGGGTGCCACATGTCAGAACTGGGATTTAAAGCTGGGATTTGAACCCAGCTCCTCTGAGTCTAAATTCAAAAGTCTCTCCACCACTTCCCTTTCATGACCTAGTATTGGTGGGCTTGAGGTGTTCTTGGGCTGTGCTGACTCACAGAAAGAAGGAATGGTCTGTAATTGAAGCAGGAAGGGGGTGTACACGTGGAGCCATGGAGTCCCCAGACTCAAGAATTCTGGTAGAAGCCTGACTGTTCCAGAGCCTTCCAAGAAACTTCACTGATCTCCGGCCTGTCCCCAGAGACTTGCAGAGAGGAGACGGGGGATGGATGGACAGTTTCTTTGCCCTGTCTATCCATGTACTGAGAAGTGCCCTTATAAATGGCTCCACCAGCTAGGGGGCACCCTAGCGCACAGAATACTGGAACTGGGGTTAGGAACACTTGAGTTCAAATCCAGCCTCAGACACTTATAAGCTGTGTGATCATGGGAAAGTCATCTAACCTCATTTTGCCTCAGTTTCCTCTACTGTAAAATGGGAATAACAATAACACCTACATCCCAGGGTTGTTGTGAAGATAAAATAAATGAACTAATTGTCAAGTGTGCCAGTAGGTGCTATGTAAATGTTAACAATGATAATGATGACCTTAGTGACCTTGGGCAAGCCACCTGTGTAGAAGGGGGTGGGGCTGGACTAGATAACCTCTCAGGTCCCTTCCAACTCTAAATTTATAATCATGTGATCTGGCGACCCCAGCACTGCTAGGGATTCCCTCTTTTATTCTGGACGTCTTCCATGATGGTAGCTAACACCTTTGGGGAGCACATCTTCTTGTGCGCCTTGCTTGATTTTGACAATTGGAAGGTTATTGGATCGTTTTCCTTCTAGTTGCATCTGTCAAGGAATCATCTTGTATAATAACTTATACTGGAGAGGGACCTTTTTTTTCATTCAAACAAATCACACAGTAGACATTTGCATTCGGTGCAGAGTCAGTGATGTGACTGTGAGGATGTGTGCTATGGAAAAGTCTTCCTGCTTCCTTCTCATATTTTCATCCAAGATGCCTTTGGTGTACATGTGCAGATCGTTCTTGTACACATTTTACAGAGATAAGTTTGTGTTTATTGATGACCAAGATCACAACAAAAAAAACGAAATTCAAAAACAAAGAAAGTAAGTGTGACCTGGGCTTACCCAGATTGGATCTGATCTTGTGGGCTGGCTCCTCCATAGAGGAG